ACAGACAGATCTTGAGATGTGTATAATCAATTTTGTCTTATTACTTCTCATGGACAGTAATTTCATACCAGTGCTTGTGCTAATTCTACTTTGTTAAAATAAGTTTCAGAATCACGCGTTTTCTTATCAAACTCAAAATTATTTGTTAGACTTTCTACTATTTAAGATATAATAAAAGCCGTTCCTTCTCGACCAGTTTCTCTTTTGGAATTCTCAATTTGAATGACACGTTATGCGACAGATGGGAAAATGATCAATTCATAGACTCTAAGGTTCAGACACAGCCTGCCCCCCAGTGGCACAGCGGTATGTCTGCGGACTTACAACTCTAGAAACCGGGTTTTGATACCCGTGGTGGGCAGAACACGGATAGCCCATTGTGTAGCTTGGTGCTTAATTTCAAAACTAACAAACAATCAGATACAGCCATCACTGCTAAACAGAGGGAGAGGAACCTCTTAACAGCGTCCTGTGCCTATGCGGTTATTCTTAATCAAATAGATGAGTTGCCGTCACAGTTGTAGTGCCCTCAGCTAAAGTGCAGAACGCATTCATCGGCGTATCGCGGCTCGACTCCGGGATCTTCCCGATCTGCAGCTCGGTACGCTAATCACTGGACTCTCTTGGTCTATTACCCAAAGACTGAAGAAAATTGTTGTTACAAAGCAACTAACTGTCAGTTAGAAAACTGGTTTGAATTTAAAGATAATAATATTTATTACATTTCCAATTTGTGTCACCACTTTGAAAAAATAAATGAAACCTTAAATTTTCACGATATGTGAATATATTGTAATCGTAATCCGTACAACCGTGGAAAACAAACTTTATACTGCAATATAACTAATTTTTTTGGTTTGAGAATTAAATCGTTCGGTGTTTTTTTTCCTGCTTTATTTTATATGTTATTCACTACGACTGAATTTTATTTTGTAATTATTATTTCCTAACTTACGTTCAGATGGTTGGATTAAAAACAACGTTCCACAGAAACACCCAAATTCTTAACGAATAACTGGTATCTATAAATTGCGCATGCGCAGTTGTGAGAACTTCAGGTATTTTTTTGTCTTTTTATTGAATATTCTTCCTTCTGACATTCTGTAGAATAAACGTGAATGTCCAATATAATGTCATTTATTTATAGGCTAATGAACTGAAGTGTTTTAATAAGCCTAACGAGTAGGGTTAATCGTTGAAAACGTACATCTGAATCTGTGGTTACATTCCTTCGTTACATCCATAATATGGTCACGTATACAAACAGTAAGTTATAAAGATATTTTCTTTAATTGAATATTTCAGAAAAGGTTGATAAATATGTTTTGCGTAAAAATTTACTTTATATTACTAAAAGTAATAGTGTTAGAAGTACACACGTAAACATAATGTACATTATATATCACTAATAACAGCTCAGCAATAGTTTATAGGTTGTTTAGGGGTTCTTTTTTCCGTATTAGAATACATAAAGTTATGGTTAGGCTTGGACAGCCAAAATTTTGCTGGCCCACTTGCAAGAAAAAAAAGCAAAAAAAAAACGATTTCCATATATTTTGTCTGGATCTAATGTATATAGAAACCTATTTATATATTATCTTGTAAAACTTCCATGAGTTGAACACATCCTCTGGTGGCTCAGCGGTAAGTCTTAGGGCTCATAAGGCTAAAGACTGGATTTCGATACCCCTGGTGGGTAGAGCACAAACTTCCCATTGTGTAATTTTGTGCTTAACAACAAAATATGTTTTACAATTATTCTCTAATTTTTTTTCGACCAGTTGTTTAAAAGAGTACCATACTCGGAAATGTTGTTTCATTAAATGAATTCATAAAACAAATCAAGTTAGTTCACAGTGGGTTTGTTGCCTTGTAATAAGAAAGGTGGGACCTTGCTTATGACTGTCATATTAGTACTGATTGCTGGGTACTAGAAGCTTCTAAATCCAGCAATTACACAATCAAAGATACACTAAAGCATTTATACCCATATCACGAAACATATTTATGCAACCTTTGCAACTTGACTTGCTAGTAGTTACACCGTCCAGTTGCGAATTCGACGGTTCCTAGTTCACATCCACTGAAGAAAAAATATATGGGACTTCGCACTTGGAGACTGTGTATGTGTTATACCAGTGATAATCAATCGCTCCCACTATTCCAATCAGAGTAGCCTAGAGTTGGCGTGGGTGCTGTTGACTAGCCTCCTTCTAGTCAGTCAGTTTAAAATCAGGGACGGCTGACGTAAAGAAGAAGAAGAATGGTTTCTAAATCTACAGACAGTCAATACAATATGGTTGTATATTATCTGATTTACTACAAGCGTGTCTTACGAATTTTAAGATTGGATTGGGATTTGGAAGTGACGCTTGTGTCCAGGATTATCACTCACGTTTCCAGGTTGTTATTGGATTTAACAGCGAGCATATAAACAAAGGGCAAAGTTATTACAAGATTGCAACACGAAAAGAAAGCAACGGAGGGGTTGTCAATTGGATTTCTGAATCAATATTCTCGAATATTCTATATTCATAGTAAATGTTTTTGGATAATCTTCTTAAGATAAATCCATCTTTCAAAGCATCTAACGCAGACGCCAGTATTTACGTCAGGAATTGCGACAGTAATACAAATTGATATTTATAACAATAGCTTTCACTTAATTCAATTTGCTTCAGAAAAAGGTAGCTACGTATGTCTGCATATATGTGATTTTGACATCCAAGCCTTTCCCAAAATAAAAGGATATATATATACACACACACACACACACATGCATACACACATATTTTACGTATCGCTTTGTGTTGTTCACTATATCATTGTCGTTTCACGATAAAACTTTTATTAAGTTAGCCTAAACTCAACGGTGGAGGAAGCAATTTGGGATTGGTCAGGCAACTCAGATTAGTGTGCAAAGCATACCAGTGCTAAGGGAGGAGGTCTGGGAGCATGCTCCCCAAGAATATTTTGAAAAATGGGTGCTCTGAGATTGAATTTTGTGCTAATTGTACTATAATTTATTGAAAGTATTGATCATTTGCAAGCACTTCTCTATGATTCACAAAAAATAGGTGCACACTGGCACTTATACTCACCATAGCTATAAGCAAGCACAAGCATGTGCAGTTGCAGATTACGTATGTAATTTATTACGCATTGTTATACTGATTTATACATACTATTACATTACTATAAGTCTATCTATTTACCTAGAAACAAATTTTGAAGTGCAAGTAAAAAGACATATAGTTACTGTTCAAGTTTAAGTATAAAAAGACCTATAGTTACTGTGCATGTTTAAGTATAAAAAGACCTATAGTTACTGTGAAAGTTTAAGTACAAAAAGACATATAGTTACTGTGAAAGCTAAAGTATAAAAAGACCTATAGTTACTGTGAAAGTTTAAGTACAAAAAGACCTATAGTTATTGTGCAAGTTTAAAGTACAAAAAGACCTATAGTTACTGTGAAGTTTAAGTACAAAAAGACATATAGTTACTGTGAAAGCTTAAGTATAAAAAGACCTATAGTTACTGTGAAAGTTTAAGTACAAAAAGACATATAGTTACTGTGAAAGCTTAAGTATAAAAAGACCTATAGTTACTGTGAAAGTTTAATTATAAAAAGACCTGTAGTTACTGTAAAAGCTTAAGTATAAAAAGACCTATAGTTACTGTGAAAGTTTAATTATAAAAAGACATATAGTTAGTGTGAAGAAATGTTGGTCCGGCTGCTGCCCGGTCTGTCGTACCTGCTTCGGCGCACACGAAACTCTAAGTATCCCTGAATAGCTTGTAATCATAAGAAAATTGTTAGTTCTTTTCCCTCTGTGTGCAACCCGGTGACAGATTAGAAATGAGCTGGACATTTTCCAATCAGCATTTCTTGATTACATTAGAAAGTTATCCACCTCTTTCAGTTTTGAAAATAAAATTTTAAGGTTTAAGATTTAATGTCGAGTTTTGAATTATTTGTTTCATTAGAGTAAAAGTTCGCAAATTTATAAATCAGTTCGAATGAAAAAAATACAATTCTATTGTTTAGCCTCAGCCTCTTACTTTGTTTATTGGAACAATATGATCTACGTGTTAGCCTCAATCTACTCCTGTACACGTGTAACAGAAAAATATAATTATAAGGTTTAGTCTTAGTCTATTCCTGTTCATAAGTAGAACAATATAATTCTACGGTTCAGTCTCAGTCATTCCTGTATAATGCAGATAACCCTCGAGTAGAATTGCGTGAAATTCAACAAACAACAACATTCCTGTACATACGAAGAAAGACTACAGATGAAACAATTATAAATCTTTCAAACTAATTAATCGTTTACCTGTTTCTGTGGCAAATTGCTACTTATCTCTAGAATTTATAACAGGATTTTACCGAAATCCTATTATGGGATTAATTTATTATGTCCCCAAGCAACAAGATTAAAACCCCCGTCTTACTCCCACTGCAATTTTAAAACTTTTCCGTTTTAACCATCCAACAAGTTAAGAATGTTATATTGTTTTTAATTTATGTTCTATTTTTGCTTTTAGAAAAAAAAAACGGTTACAGTTATATAGATTTTGAACAAAGCATGTTATTACTTACTGAGAACCGAACTTCCTGTTAGTGGATTTTGTATTTTTATTTATAAATTCACTCAAAAGATGTTTTACTCTTATTAAGATCCAAAGAACAAACACCTTTTAGCCCTTAGTATATTATATTAGTTAGTCAACATCATCATAAAATAAAAACCAGAACATTTTCTACAAATGTCACTACATAGAAAGGGCTTTTGGAGATGAGTGCGTTAAAGAGATTTTTTTATTCGGGTTCTTCTGATATTCTGTAGCATCAAATCTATATTCAGCGTTATTATGCATAAAATAATCTTAAAAATATTTTGTTATCGAAATATTGCTGTGTACTTATAAACAGGAGGTTAACACTGTACGTTGCGTACTGATAATCAAGAAGTTAACACCGAACCTACGTACTTACCCAATAAGGTCAGATGTAGGAATTTTCTTCACAGCTTTAATTGTAGGCATCTCGTAGGACTCTGGTAGTCTTCTGAAAAACAAACACAAAAATCTTGTCTTGTGGATTAAATATTAATAAACAGGTAGATTGATAAATATATAACAGATGGTTAAATAATATTATATAAAATTACCAAAAAGATAGGCATATAGTTAACCTCATAAAGATGTTGAGAAATATACCTAGATAGTTAGATAGATATTAACAGGTCAATACTAAATAAGAATATATATATATCTGTTTACAAAATATTTCTAACAGCTATTTTGGAAGTGTGTTGCCAAATGTCTAGATGTGAACATCAAAGACAGATCCAGATGCTTCTTGATCTAAAATGTAAATTTACGTTATTTGTAACTGGCTTACACGTATAGGTATCCGCTAATACCTCGGAGAAATATGATTGCCGAGAAAACGTGTTATTTCACCATGGTAATGGTATTAGCCTCAGTTAGGTGGAAATAATCCCTACTCTGGAAGCAACTTTTTGAAGGTTTTCCTTAATACATTTTCATAACTTTTTTAAATGGATTTCTATTACAATGTCTTATATCAATGGAGCCGGTGGATGTTATGCATATATATTGTCTTATGACTTGTTTTATATTGTCCCCATGAAATAGTTTTTAAACTTTTATAATGCGCACAATGAGTCATCTAATAAAATAAGCAAGTAAGTTTGAGAGTTACAAACGTAACTATATTTGCTGCTAAATGCAGTAGCTTTCTGAATATCTCTTCTGTGGGAGAGAGTTCAAAGTTCAGTTAAACAATACTTGTTTATTCTCTGACCAAATATGTGGGAAACAGACTGTAAAGTTCGAAGGTATAGTTACACAATCTTATATATGTATATAAGTCATGATTACTTCTCGCTAAGTTAGCAGAAAAATAGGCTTGCTCATATTGCTCAAGTAAAACATAGAGGATAAAGTAACAATCTCTTTTATTAACTGAAGAGCGGGCTAACTCACGAAAACGGTATCTTGATGAAACAACATAATCAGAATATAGTTATTACTTATACATAAAAAAATCCACCAGACTTTTGGCTATATTATTCTGATATTTTAACAGCGTCTCATAGGGAGCAACGTAATATGTTAAAATTTAATTGTCGCGGAAAATTACAAATACTTGTATGTTTCGGATATTCGCGGCAAAGCTACACAAAGGTTTTCTGCGCTAACTACCCTAGTTTTGAACCGATACACTAGAGAGAAAAGACAGCTACTCAACAGCATACATCGACCATTTTTGGGTAACTCTATCGAATAGTGGGGCTTGACTGGCACTCTTACAATGTAATCTCGGCTCCTTAAGTGCGGAGCACGATTTTTTTGGGCTACTCGGACCCATGTGAATTATGCTACCCACTAGTACACAGCCAGCGTTATATAAAAACTGTTTATAAATAAGTGATTTTTTTTCTTTTACATTTCGATGAATACGTCCATGTGACATTTTATAAACTATTATCAAGAAAGTTATCAGTGTATTTACTGCTGTATATAACTGACATTTCTTACCCGTACATGATAAGGTTTCTTTCTTTAAGGAAACTCAGCCGTTTACGGTACTTAGGTACAAAATAAGCACTAAGACAAGAGCGCATAGCGTGTCTTGTGACTTCATGATTAACAGTTTTCATTTACAGATATTTCAGTCAATATAATCCCCCGGTGGGACAGCGGTATGTCTACGGATTTACAACGCTAAAAACTGGGATTTGATTCCCCGCGGTAGACGCAGCAGATAATTCAATGTGGCTGTACTCTAAAATAAACAAACATGTGTTATATTTCAAAATATTAAACTTTTGAAAGAAAATAAGTAAAAGAGCTAGCTAGAGAACT